ACATATATTTGCCTATAATCATGCATGTTTGCAGTGAAACTCTTGGGGAATCCTCTTACCCCTGATGGTATAAAACTATAAACCTGTAGGAATCAACTGTTAGAGGTTTAATTGTATTTGTCCCTTCACAGTAAAAGCACTCTTCTAGTGATCTTTATTTTCATCCGGAGGCCTTATGAGCAGGTTTGGATGTTTGCTGTGCTCACAGTGTAAACTCTGACTCCTCTGGCTTATTCTATCAAAAATCTAAAAAAGTCATGATGGATGGAAAATCACACAGTGGATGTTATTTTTTCAAACTGACTCAGTTGTGAAATTCAGCATTATTTGTGACATGCTGAACAAGCGTAACAAAGACTGAAATCAGCGACTCTTATTCATATTATATTGCTCATTATTCTGTAGGTTTGTCATGTTGTCATTTCTGAATTTTGGAAACTTTTTTTTAAATTAAATGATTTCAAAGTATGGATGAATGGACTGACGGGCAGATTCAGACTGACAGAAGGGAGACTTCACCTTTGCTTCCCCACCTGACTGAAGGTCATTTTAGTGATCCCTGTGGAAACCCCACGGCTGGAGTGAAGCTGTGGGGCCAGATGAGTTTTTATTGGTGGAAGTCACAGCTCAGTGATCTCTCTCTCTCTCTCTGTGTGTTCTCGAGCAGTTAGTTTAGCCAAAGACAGCGTCTGCCTTTGAAATAAATACTGTGCACTATAACACACTGTCTGTTAATAACCAGTCCTGAAACAATGTTATTTAATATTTAAGTGAAAAGGCTCTGCTACTGTAGCAATGAATGAAATCAGAAGGTGGCAGGATGACTGAAAATAAAACCTACTGAGCTTCTCTTGGATTTCTATCACATATTTCATATAGCATGAACATGGCATAAGTAACTCTGGCTCAATGATCAAGACTTTTTAAAAGCATCGATACTATGCCTTCACATTCTCTTAACCACGGAGTCTCCATATTGTCGAAAAGCGTGCTTGCTAAATCAGATGAATAAGATCACAGTCGTGGTCTGAACAGTCCATCAGTTCCCTACATAGCATGCCAGATGTCCACGATGTCCGAGACAGCTTTTCTTTTACAAGATCACTAAAAAAGGTTGTCTCTTCATGTATAAACCCACTAGGACGGCCTCAAGGCTTTCATTCCTAGTCTCAATAATATTTCTAGTCTCTGGGTTTGAGGCTTTTTGTAGCTGTGCTTGATATAACAAAGACATTCAAACTGCTGACCACACATGCACATGCATAGATGACCAGCAGATCAATTTTTATGAGCTATCGTGCTCTCGACAAAGAAAGAAAAATCTAGAAGCTGATGCAACTCAAAGTTTAGAAGTACAATTTTAGCGGCTCTTAATTGAAAATCAATTAATCATTCATCACAGCTGCACAGCTGCACAGCAATCCTGCTTAGCTCCTGACCTGAAATGTCCCATATTCATTTTGTGTCACTTGCTTTGTTGCAACCTACCTCTGTGCTCGTGATGATGCATGAATGGGATATTAGTAAAAAAGAACAAGTGCTTTTAATTTTTAAGACCTGTTTCATTCAACCTAATAATAATAATCTTATTCACTTGTTTTTTCATATCCT